ACCAAAATTGTCAACACTAGTCAAAAAAAGAAAATCTAGTGCTCAAAAAATCGAACTGGAGTAGAAAGGGCGAATATACATTATTCGCTGTTTTGTAAAACAAAACAGTTTGATGATTAAATTAGTAAATTGTAATAAGGGTGAATATGGCATATGAGGCCTTTCGTCGTAACAAATAGGTGATATTCACCGTTACACATTTGTTTTATTTTCTGTTCTGTTACGAAAAAGAATCATAGAAAAATGGCTTATTCGCCCTTGCTACAAACCAGTGACGATATGCGCATTGCGAAACATAGTAAATCATTTCTAAACAGTAAGAAAAGAAATACCGACGCTAAATAAAATATTGGCTATTGCAAAAAAGTTATTTAAATTTTAGAGGAGGAAAAACCACTTTGCAGCTGATACTAATCAACTGCTTAGGTTATAAATTTAAAAAATGTAAAAATTCATGGATCTATTAACACGATGCCGTAAGTAAATGTTGGCAAAACATTAGCGACGCCAGTATGAAAAATAAATAAACCAGGGCAACGATGGATACTTGTACATGCTGGCGGTGAAAATGGATTCATTCAAGGGGCCAAACTTTTATATAAATTCAAAAGTAATACTGGTGACTATCGTCACGAAATGGATACAAAAAATTTCACAAAATGGTTGAAAGAAAAACTAATTAATTCCTGGTAGTGGTAAGATTTATGAGCAATGGAAAAGCCTAAGAGTGTAACAAAGTTTGAAATAAAAGCTGGTAATGTTGAGAAAAATAAATATACTTTATAAGGTACTCAAAAAAGTTTAACCATGAAGTGTACCCTAGGTATAATGAATATTTTTGGATTTATGAGATGTAAAAGTGAATCGGAAAGCAAAATGAAATCTGACAAGGGAGACTATAAAATCCATCACAGTTTCTGACTGGAAAACCGTTATTAACCATGTTAAAAGATTGAAAAAAGAGTGTTGGGAGATGGACCATCTACAAAAAATTGAACAAAGGGAATTATAATTTCTCTTGAAGGTAAAGAAATCAGCTCTGAATAAAAAACCAGCTCTGAAGACTCCACTACATGAACTAATCCTTATAATTTTTAAGAAATAAACTTTTTTGTAAACAGTACCATCACGAGACGTCATAGCGTGAAGTCCGCTGTTAAGCCGTACTCGTTATATCTTATGAAGCAATCATTGTATAATCAATTATCGAAAGATGCGATATGAAGATAAAAAAAATTAATTAAGCTTAAAATTCTGCAACCTACGCGCCTTACACGGGCATTTGCAAAATGTTACCATCACAATTCATCATCATCATCATCATTACATCCCTTCACAAGTCCACTGCTGAACATAGGCCTCCCCCAAGGTATGTCACAAAGCACGATCCTGAGCCACTTGCATACATCGACTTCCTGCATGTCTTACCAGATCGTCACTCCATCTAGTTGGGGGGTCGTACTACACTTCGCCTACCAGTACGAGGCTGCCACTCGAGAACCTTTTTTCCCCAACGGTTGTCGGTTCTTCGAGCTATATTGCCGACCCATTGCCACTTCAGCTAACTTATCCGTTGGGCTATGTCGGTCACTCTGGTTCTACTGCAGATATCCTCAGTTCTAAGTTTATCACGCAGAGAAACCCCGAGCATAGCCCTCTCCATAGCTCGCTGAACGACTTTGAGCGTCCTTATACGGCCATCAGTGAAGGACCACGTCTCGGTTCCATAGGTCATCACTGGCAACACGCACCGGTTGTACAATTTAGTTTTCAGGTTTTGAGGTATGCCTGACGAGAAGATGTATCGTAATTTCCCGAACGCTGCCCAGCCGAGTTGAATCCTTCGATTGACCTCTCAGTCGAAGTTGGACTTATCTAGTCAGACTATTTGTCCCAGGTAAACGTACTCGTCAACAACTTCGAGCTTAGTGCTCCCAACCACAACGGGCATAGTTGTGACATGGACATTAAACATGATCTTTGTGTCCATGCGGTCGGAGCTAAGTTCTGCAAAACCCGGCTCAGAATAACACAAAAACTTTTCGATCACACTCTTAATCTCATGGATGTTAGACGAGCGATGCTGAAGCTGCAGTTGTCGGCAGGTTTCACAGCTTACAGACAACTGAACAGACAGATCTCCAAATACATGCGGCAGGACTTACGCAACTTCAATACAGCTCGTATTGAAGAAGCGATTGAGCGGAACCAGGGCTCCAAAGTCTTTGCTAGAGATCTGTCTGCCAGAAAGAGCCAACTGTCAAAGCTGAAGACTGAGTGTGGCAGCATCGTTTCCGGGACACCTGAGATTCTGAGTGAGTTTGAGAGGTTCTATGGGCAGCTGTATACATCATCGTTGGAGCCACACGCAAGTGTAAGTAACGATCCAAGAGCAAGTCTTATCCGACACTATTCCGATGATATCCCGGACGTCAGTCTGAACGAGTTTAGAATGGCTCTCCAGCACCTTAAAAACGGCAAGTCCCCCGGCGAGGATGGAATTACAGCGGAGCTTCTGAAAGCGGGTGGAAAACCGGTACTTTAAGTCCTTTAGAAGCTCTTTAACTCCGTCCTCCATGGAGGCACTACTCCCGAGACATGGAGCAGAAGTGCGGTGGTCTTGTTCTTCAAGAAAAGTGACAACGCCCTCTTGAAGAACTACAGACCAATATCTCTTCTGAACCGCGTCTACGTGCTGTTTTCGAGAGTCATTCCGAGTCGTCTCGGGCGCAAACTCGACGACTTCCAGCCTCCCGAACAAGCCGGTTTCCGAAAAGGCTTTAAGTACCATGGACCACATACATATCCTTCGGCAAATTGTACACAAGTCCGAAGAGTACAATCTGTTTGCCTGGCGTATGTGGCCTATGAGAAAGCCTTTGATTCCGTCGAAGTTTGGGCGGTGCTACAGTCCCTTCAGCGGTGCCAAGTTGACTTTCGGTATATCGAAGTGCTGAAGTGTTTGTACAGTAGGGTTACGATGGCTATCCGAGTACAGAATCAGAGTACGAAACATATGCAACCGGAGAGAGGTGTAAGACAAGGTGACGTTATATCCCCGAAACTCTTCGCCGCTACATTGGAAGACGTTTTCAAGCTACTGGACTGGAAAGGATACGGTAATAACGTCAATGGCGAGTACATCACTCACCGATTTGCCGACGATATAGTCCTTATGGCAGAATCGCTGGAGGACTTAAGCACTATGCTCAATGACCTCAATAGTACCTCCCAACGGATACGTCTTAACCTACTTCAAAAAAATGAGGAGGTTCTCGATTCAACCGTATTCTTTTTTAGTGGGTAACAAAAAAAATTCTAGGTAAACTGATTTTGATGATTCTTTTTTTTATTTGAAAGCTGGTATCTCTCATGTGGTCCCATATAAATTTTATCAAGATGTGACCACTAGTTTTTTATTTATCCTTAATAACGCGTATTTAATTGACTTCGACCACATTATGTTCTCATTTTATTTATATTTAAGTCGGTTGTACAAGTTTTAATTTTACCACTTGAATTGAAACAAATTGATCAAATGAAAGCTTTTCTTGCGTAATTGATACCTACCCTAAGCCATCAACTAAACGTAGTAATTATATTCCCTTTCATTATATTAATATTTCTTTTTTTTTCAGCCGCCAGCTCAAATTATAATAGGTCGACATTACCATTCCGTATGACGAGAACCTCGTGAAAGCCGAAACAGATAAGTGAACAAAATATCTGGACCTGGCTCACGAGGTGACCGACATGTGGGGTGGTCTGCCGACCGAAATTATAGCTGTAGTCGTCCATGCGAATGGGCTAATCCCAGTTCGCCTCTCGGGTCATCTGAGGCAACTGGGACTCCGTGACGGACCGCTCCGGGCTCAAATGCAGAAGGCAGTGCTCCTCGATACCGCCCGCATGGTTCGCTGGTTTCTTTCTCTTTCCTCCTAACCCTTTGCCGTTTGGTCTCCCCTGCCGTCTCCAAAAAAGCCGAAAACGCTCTCTTGAAGAACTACAGGCTGATTTCGCTTCTGAACCGTGTCTACGTGCTATTTTCGAGTCATTATGAATCGTTCTGCCCGCAGACTCGACGACTTTCACCCTCTCCAACAAGTCAGTTTTCGAAAAGGCTTTAGTACTATAGACCACACCCTTCGATAAGACTAAGGAGTACAATCGCCACTTTATCTTGCTTCCGTCGAAATTGATTGCTACAGTCTCTTCCGTTGCTATGTTAACTGTCGGTATATCGAAGTGCTGAAATGTTTGTACAGTAGACTACGATGGCTATCCGAGTTCAGAACCAGAGTACGAAACCTATCAAACTGCAGAGAGGTGTGAGACGACATGGTGACGTAATATCCTCGAAACTTCACTGTTGCATTGAAAGACGTTTTCAAGCTACTGAACTGTAAAGGATACGGTATTAACGTCAATAGCGAGTACATCACTCACCAGCCGTGGATTTTATGGACTAATAAAGAAGAAAATAAATTGCGCATTCTGGCAATAGCCCTAACTGGACACTGTTGTCTTAAAAAGCACATGTCCATCCTGGGACTAAGCAACTCAAGGATGTGTCGGTTCTGTTCCATAACGGAAGAAACGCCTCTACACATCCTAACCGATTGCGAACCCTTAATGCGCAAACGTAACACTCATCTGGGACACTATCTACTCCGCCCAGAAGAAGTGAAATTGCGCACGGCTAAGCAACTCCTTCGATTCATTGAAGACATAGGGCTTAGCAGTGAACTATAGCCATAGCAGCGATCACAATAGATCTTTTAGGTCGCAGTGATACTGGTCTCTTTACCTAGACCTGCATAGCTGCTCGCATATAATAAAAAAAAGAAGAAGAAGACGGAATACTAATGTAACCTGACGGACCAGCCAAAGATTTAGTCAAAGAAAAAAGGGCGGCAGAAGCAATAAAAAACAAAAAGACTCTATGAAACATGTATATTTACTTAATATTCTTAACCTAATCACATTGAGATCGACAGCTTTTAGGAGTTTGTAATGTTCACTATCAACTTTTCGGTAACTTTATGTTTTAACGGCAAAAATGGTATGACATCGTCGGCTTCCTTTATTTGACTCGTAGGCATCTTTAAAAAAAACAATCTGGTCAACAAAAATTAAAACAAATAATTCAAATACTACCTTAATATTATAAGACTTACATTTAAATCCTTTGCTGTAGATTCTTTGGCTGTGAATTCTCTTAGAATATAATTTGTATTTAACTTATGGAACATTCTGGTCTCATGTGAACGTACTAAAACATCGTCAACTCGTAAGAAATATCTTAACAACACGTACCAATATGACGGCATGACTCTCTGAAATGGAAGAAAAATCGGTTATTACTTTTAAAAGTCAAAAAAGTTTAAGTTACAGCCTATATACGTCCCCCAGCTGGCCACAGGCCTCCTCTCACTTTTGAGAGGGTTTTATGGCAAGGAAGTGTTTGCCGCGCTGCCCCAATGCGGTTTTTACATGTCTTCGAAATATATTTCACAGACAAACGGGTTTGTTGGTTACTTTCCTTCACTGCTGAGCATGTGGTAAAGCAGCAACAGGGAATCCAACTCAGGTTGCTCTCGTACTGTTAAATTTACAGCAAGTACTAAGTCCCGAGCTATCACGGCTCCCAGTATCCTATTTTATTGTAACTTCACTATTTATTTTAGGTTACAGTAAAATATTTGTTCAAAGTATATGATTAACACAAATCAAAATACTTATTAATAAAAGTCAAACATTTAATAGTGCTAGCACAGAGGAACTTGAGAAATTGCAGTTGATGCATGTACTAATCAACACTAAAAGCAAAAAAACCCATTGATTTATTTAACAACTTTTTTTTCAATATCCCTATTCGGAGCTGAGGAACGTCCTCATTCTGCTCATCGTGCTCTCGTATAGAAAAATAACAACATATAGTTAACGTTAGTTAAACATTTTCTTACTTCAACCATTGAAAGCTAGGCTAATAACTTTATTTAAAAAAAATTGATAACATGCAATAATTGTTAAAATATATAATACTAAATAGCGTTTCAAGCTAAATTAAAAGAATTACTATGAACTTCTTTGCTTTGTATATTTGAAACTATTACTTTTATACAGGAATATTTTTAAAATAAAATAAATATTACTTTTATGTGTTTCTGTATTCAAAAATATTCTTTACTTGCATAAGAGCAATATTTCCAAAATTCAGAAAGCTCATTTTAACTCCTTAAAGATTACTTTTCTGATAAATAAGTAAAGATAAACTATAAATTTTGTTGCTATATCGATGATGCACTTCTAGCCGATTTTCGACCACCTCAACATCTCAATAATCGGAAGCTATTAACTGCGCACGACATTATTTAGTTGTATATAGTATAAAATAATATACGCGTGGGGTGATGGAATATGAGTAATCATTAATATGTTAGTACTATTATACCTTAGTACTATTAGACCTTACTCCATTTCTACCCATAGACACTGGATGTTTTAAATATGACTTAGGGAGACATAGATTATAATATGCATAGCCTTTTATTAGAGACGATATAAAATTATATTAAATGATTATTTAGATAAAAAAACAATTCTATTAATAAGATGTTACTAAATTCCCTATTTCAAGTAATTACTTACAATTTTAACAGACAGCTTAGAGATTCCATGGTCATGCAACTCATCTTCAAACAATGTTAAATCATGATAAAAAAGAATCTGATCCTTTTGCTTTAACAGCTCAAAGTCAATTAATTCATCTGTTGGCTCTACCAAAACATTATCACTTAATGTTCCTTTATAGTCTGTTGAGAAAGTCCAGTCAAAGCATTGTTTCTTCTTTCCAGCATTAGGTCTTGTTAAAATAAAAATATAAACAACTTAAAGAAATGCTAAACAAATGAGAAAAGGATATTAATAATTTGATAATTGTAAAATCATCATCATCATCATTACAGCCCTTCACAAGTCCACTGCTGAACATAGGCCTCCCCCAAGTAATGCCACAAAGCACGGTCCTGAACCTTCACTTCTGACCGTATGAGGACGCTCAAGGTCGTTCAGTAAGCTATGGAGAGGGCTATGCCCGGAGTTTCTCTGCGTGATAGACTCAGAAATGAGGATATCCACAGTAGAACCAGAGTGACCGACATAGCCCAATGGATTAGTAAACTGAAGTGGCAATGGGCCAGCCATATAGCTCGAAGAACCGATAACCGATGGGGAAGAAAAGTTGTCGAGTGGCAGCCTCGTACCGGTAGGCGTAGTGTAGGGCGCCCCCCACCACATGGAGTGACGACCTGGTAAGACATTCAGGAAGTCGATAGATGCAGATAATTATAAAAGCACAGAAAAATAAACAACAGTTATAAATATTATGATGCTGAACATAGTGCCTCCTAGAGTGGAATTTTGCACGTAGCCACTCTTGGCAGACAGGTCAGCATCCAAATTGTTTATAGTTTTGAGCTGTTAACGCTGCTACAACACGGCATTGTAGTTTGCAGTTCGTGGTATTTAACAGTAGATTTAATTTCTGTTCAAAAAAAAATTTTATCGACTTAAGTGAAGTTTTTACGTACCAGTGAACTACTAATGTACGTAAAAACTTCACTACCCAACACGCTCAGCTTTGGAAAAATTTTGTAGACAAGCTAGGGAAGCCCTGCCTGAAATAAACAGTTGTTTAACCAAGATTCTAATGATATTAAATAAACCACAAACCAGAATAGTAACTAGTCCTATCACAGGACATGGCTCCTTTAACATACATTTATTTACCATAGGTGTTACAGATAGTTCCCTGTGCAGGGCACGTATGCGGGAAGAATAAACGGCGGCCTACGTGTTGCTGACATATCCAGAGGTCGCTTCATACAGGGCTAAACTCTTCGTATGCTGGGATCAATCCCCGAAGTTTTTCGCAAAATCAAAAGACTGTTGAACTTCTTTGGGGAGATTTTATGGCTCGAATAATTGCATTATTCCTGCCCACACGCTTAGACATGGAGCTGCAGAAAACAGCTCGTCTTATCTTATCTTAAAATTTAGAACCTGATGATTTCATTCATAAAATGTTCCAACAACCAACATAGGTCAAAATAGCTTAAAGAAGACAATAACTCCTTTTCTCTCATTGGTTTTGCTAAATATAATGTACAATCAAGGAGGTTAAAGAAGAAAGTAAAGAAACTTCATTATCAACATCATCAATCTTACATTCCTACAAGTTCTCTGCTGAACATAGGTCAACCTTATGGATTGCCACAGAGTACAGTCCTGATCCATAGAGAGCATCCATCTATAACCTCCATATTTCAACATATTGTTAATCCACCTAGTGGAGGGTCACCGAACATTGTACTTGTCAAAATGAGGCTACCATCTGAAAACATATTTTCCTTGACATTTGTTGGTTCTTTGAATTATATGGCTGTGCCATTGCTACTTGAGCTTACTGAAACCTTAAGTTATGTTGCTTACACTAGTTCCAGTACAGATAGATATCCTCTTTTTTAAGTCAGATTTTTTATGCAGTAAAGCAGTGCTTGACTACAATCTTACCTGCTGGTAAGTGGTAATGAACACTTAAATGGGAAATAGCACTGCTTTAATATACAAAAGCCTATTCTTGAAGATGTCCAGATTTTATTCAGATGGAAAGTCAGTTACTGGTTAATATTATCAGAAAGATGTTGCTGCCCAACTCCTGACTTTTCCTTCTGTCGACTCTTATGAAAAAGATACTATCTTTTCTATTCAAGGCACATTTGAATATTTTTCTTTGAATCAAGTATGTGCTGAATTGTGTTACATTGTGGGACCATAATAACAATGATCAAAAAAACTACATCTGATCTTATTCCATAGGCATTACATTAGGCATATATAAATAGTCCTACATTTATAGTATGATAATTGGCCATGTGCTCAATTTGAAGATGTCATAAGTCTGGTGATATCAGTCACTTTGCCTTAAAGTGATGCCTTGAAGAGAAGACAACATGAGACTTAGCAGCATCTTTAACTTGAGTAACATTTGATTATTTGGGCAAATATCTGCTTTAAAATTGATGACTTCCAAACAAATATTTTTTTATAAAAGAAGGGGCAGATGTGCATGCAACTCACCTGAAGGTAAGTGTCAAACATCATCCATGAACAATTTAAACACCAGGGGAATTGCAGCTGCAATTGTCAGCATTGTTAAAATTGTCTAAGAGATTATCATTATTTTTTATTTTATTATTTATTTAGCTTCCTTATGTTACTAAATGGAAATAAAATTGAAGTAAAAGTGGGCAACAACTTCCTCTTATTTTTGAGAGGGTATATGGAAAAGTTTGCATGATTTAATAAGCTTGTTGGTTTTTACTAGAGATGGGCCGAATATTCGTTTTATATTCGGTATTCGGCATATTCGGCAGCTTTACCGAATATTCGTATTCGGCCGATATTTATATTCGGCTAAATCACCGAAAATTCGTTTTCATAGTGTCCAATGTATTGAAATGTACGAATTCAGTGTGCGATGCCTTTTACTGTTGAAAGTATATTTTATTTATGGGTTAAATCTACTTACTCTAAGAGTGCCTCAAATGCATAAATCTATACATTTATATTTTTGAGGCACTGTAAATTTATTTCCGATTATGGCAATTAGAAACTAGATAAAATGTTTTTGGAATCAAACGAAGAAGCATTACATTACATTAGTACATTCCACTTTACTTAGGTCGTCAGTTTCTCTAAAATAAGTCCAAATAGTAAATTTCCTGCCACTAATTTTTATTATCATATAATTATCAATTTTCACTAAGAATAAAACAATGAAATACTTTTTTATCACAAGAATAGTCAAAACATATGCATGTGCCGGCAATTTCCTCAGTACTAGATGATGCAATAACTGTCCGGTGTGGCGGGGAGCGAGAGGCAGGGTCCAGCACTAATCACACGCGCTTTACAGTAACAAGTTTTGACATACTAAACTGGTTGGGTCCCGAGGTTATCCCGCCGAATAATGTTCAGCCGAATATTCGGTTCAGTAAAAATTTTACCGAATATTCGGCCGAATATTCGTATTTGGTGAAATCCATATTCGGCCCATCCCTAGTTTTTACATGAAAACAAATATTAAAATATTTATTTAAAATCTTTAAGAATGCCGATTTCTTAACTTTTTTGCAGTAAGTGCTTAAAATTTGAATCATCTATTTTATACACACAAGTGCTATTCCTGATAAAGTTTTAAGGAAAAGATTAATCTTACCGTGACTCTTGCCAAGCTTCTGCACAAGCAACTTCAATTGCTTCAACACTACTTGATACGCGTTTTAAAGCATCCAGTGGGTTAAAAGTTATTTTAGCACCACTCTCATGTGATAACCTTAGAATGTTTTTTGGGAATACCATGTCTGGAAAGTGTGGAATATTTAATTCTTTGCAGTAACTGAAAGGAAAAACCCTTTATTAATATTTATATCCGTAAGTACAAACCTAAATAGTCGTTAGTACTTACATACAAAATTGACAAAACTGGTCATCGTCTCGTTCACATACAACCTTCGTAGAACACATACTTGGTAAAATACAACTAATATCGTAAGAAATGTGCCACGGTCCAAACTGTATAGACTGGGAATTTGTAGTATATCGCCCAGAATCTATTCGGTTTTCCTAAACATAAAACACATAAAAGTTAAGTAATGAAGTATACATACACCTATAACACATTAACAGTTGCTTCAAAACCTCTTACCGCAGAAATAAACATCATTATTTCTTGAATTATATTACTTATTTTCAACTTTGTAAAAATAAAACCTTATTCCAAATCTTATTAGAACACCATAAATCCTATCAAACATCAATCATAAAATAAACAACAGTGTCTGTGTCTTGAACAAATGTGCCAAAATGTCAATTTGTGGCATAAACGTATTGGGTGCGTTTGGCAGAAAAAAGCGCTAGCAAGCGCTTACTAGCGCTAAAATAGTTTTCGGCCAGGACACGATTCCTACTTCAGTAGCGCTGACACAATCCGCCATTTTGCTTATTTAATTTGTTTGTTTTGACGTAGTGTTTATAAGTTGTTTTTTGCAATATTAGTTTTAAGTAATATAATGACATGAATAGACATATACATGTTATTAAAAATTCATGATTGGTAAGTTTTTAATATGAATACTTCACAAACATATATTTAAATTAGGTTAGGTTCCCCGGTTAAAACTAACATCGTGTCCTAGAGGAAAATAGCTACTTACGATCGCCATTTTGCTTACAAGCGCTTGCTAGCGCTTTTTTCTGCCAAACGCACCCATTATATGTCTATGATTTGTGCTTTGTCAACGATTGTTCAAAACGGCATCACTTTTCATAGGTAAGTGAATTTTAATTTCCAAATTCACTAATTAAAATTAAATCGGAGCCCAAACTATATTTGTCGCAAAGCAACTCGCGTTGATTTATTCGGACATTTTCAGACTATGCATCCCTTTATTTTTAATACATTTCGTTGTTGCTATACTGTTCTTTAATTACCGGCACGCATATCATATTAGTCTGTGCCGGCACGTGTAACTAGTGCTGTACCAGTTAAGGTGAAGTGGGCGATAAAAGCAGATTTTTCACGCTTTATAGATGTGCAGACAAATTTTTTTCAATAAAAATGTTACTTCAGCTTACTAATCCGTTGGGCTATGTCGGTCACTCTGGTTTTACTGCGGATATCCTCATTTCTGAGTCTATCACGCAGTGAAACTCCGAGCATAGCCCTCTCCATAGCTCGCTGAGCAACCTTGAGCGTCCTCATACGGCCAGCGGTGAAGGACCACGTCTCAGATCCGTAAGTCATCACTGGCAACACGCACTGGTTATACACTTTAGTTTTCAGAGATTGAGGTATACCTGACGAGAAGATGTGTCGTAATTTCCCGAACGCTGCCCAGCCGAGTTGAATCCGTCGATTGACCTCTCGGTCGAAGTTGGACTTACCTAGTCGGACTATTTGTCCCAGGTAAACGTACTCGTCAACAACTTCGAGCATAGTGCTCCCAACAACTACCGGCATAGGTGTGACATGGACATTAAACATGACCTTTGTTTTTCTCTCCTATGTAGACACCATTGAGGTCATTGAGCATAGTGCTAAGGTCCTCCAGCGATTCTGCCATAAGGACTATATCGTCGGCAAATCGAAGGTGAGTGATGTACTCGCCATTGATGTTGATACCGTATCCTTTCCAGTCCAGTAGCTTGAAAACGTCTTCCAACGCAGCGGTGAAGAGTTTCGGGGATATAACATCACCCTGTCTTACACCTCTCTGCAGTTGGATAGGTTTCGTACTCTGGTTCTGTACTCGGATAGCCATCGTAGCCCTACTGTACAAACACTTCAGCACTGCAATATACCGACAGTCAACTAGGCACCGCTGAAGAGACTGTAGCACCGCCCAAATTTCGACGGAATCAACATACCAGGCAAAGTGGCAGATTGTACTCTTCGGACTTCTGTACAATTTGCCGAAGGGTATGTATGTGGTCTATGGTACTGAAGCCTTTTCGGAAACCGGCTTGTTCGGGAGGCTGAAAGTCGTCGAGTCTGCGTGCGAGACGATTCTTAATGACTCTCGAAAACAGCACGTAGACGCGGCTCAGAAGGGAAATCGGTCTGTAGTTCTTCAAGAGAGCGTTGTCGCCTTCTTAAAGAACAAGACCACTGCGCTTCTGCTCCACGCCTCCGGAGTAGTGCCACCATGGAGGACGGAATTGAAGAGTTTCTGAAGGACTTCAAGTACCGGTGTTCCACCCGCTTTCAGAAGCTCCGCTGTAATTCCATCCTCGCCCGGGGCCTTGCCGTTTTTAAGGTGGTGGAGAGCCATTCTAATCTCGCTGAGACTGACGTCCGGGATATCATCGGAATAGTGTCGGATAAGACTTGCTCTTGGATCGTTACTCACACTTGCGTGTGGCTCCAACGATGATGTGTACAGCTGCCCATAGAACCTCTCAATCTCACTCAGAATCTCAGGTGTCCCGGAAACGATGTTGCCACACTCAGTCTTCAGCCTTGACAGTTGGCTCTTTCTGGCAGACAGATCTCTGGCAAAGACTTTGGAGCCCTGGTTCCGCTCGATCGCTTCTTTAATACGAGCAGTATTAAAGTTGCGTAAGTCTCGCCGCATGCATTTGGAGATCTGTCTGTTCAGTTGCCTGTATGCTGTCAAATCTGTTGACGATTGCAGCCTCATCTCCCGTCTAACAGCCATGAGATTAAGAGTGTGATCGGAGAGTTTTTGTGTTCTTTTGCGGCGGGTCTTGCAGAACTTAGCTCCGACCGTATGGACAGTTTCCACGAGCTTGTCATTCATATCGTCCACTGCATTGCAATCCTCTAGGCACTGAAAGCGGTTTTGTAACTCGAGCTGAAAGGTTTCGGGATTCCGGATTAGAGCACGAGGGGGACGGAGCGTTGACTTCATTAGACGAGACCTCTCTAACTTAACATTTAGGTTCAGTGTGCCTCTAACCATTCGGTGATCGCTGCCAGTTTTAACCCTTGCGATCACTGAGACATCACTAAACAGTTGGCGTCTGGTCGTCATAATGAAGTCAATCTCATTTTTTGTCGAGCCGTCGGGGCTCGACCAGATCCACTTCCTGTGGGGCCGCTTCTGGTAGAAAGAGTTCATCATAAAGAGTCCCCCTTTCTCCATAAAGTCGGCCAGCTGCTGGCCTCTTCGGTTCCGTTGCCCTACTCCAAATTTCCCCACCTTCAGCTCACCGCTTTCTCTTGTGCCTAGTTTTGCGTTGAAGTCACCCATCAACACCGTGTAGTGGGTTTTGGAGGAATGCATGGCTCTGGAAATATCCTCATACATTTCCTCCACCTCCTCATCGGGATGTGCCGAGGTTGGTGCGTAAACCTGTATGATCTTCAGCGAATACCGTTTGGTGATTCTGAGTATCAGGTACGCGACCCTCCTCGACACACTCACAATCTTTACAACGTTGTTGACGAGAGACTTGTGGACGATAAATCCGACACCTACTTGGGACAGATGGTCGCCCTCCCGGTGGTAGAACAAGTTGCCGGACTCGAGGATTGCCGTATCCTCCCCCCTCTCTTCGGACCTCGGATAATCCAATAATATGCCAGCGCAACTTGTCTACCTCTTCTTCCAGCTCCAGTATCTTCTCGTCAGTCGTCAGAGTGCGTGCGTTATATGTTGCCAGGTCGAGTCATCGTAGGTGGCAACCGAACCTCCCCCGGAGATTCTTAGCACCCCCTGCCCCGCCGTTACCATGGTCGCCACCGTAGCCAGGAATAGCGGGGCCGCCGGGGACTGGGGGCCGTTTTGTTGCGTCGTTATTCATGGGGGGATATTTGCCATAGTTGCCACGCTTGGCGATCGGGTTGGCAACCGCAGTTTTTTATTATTACACAGTTGTTATCAGAAAGATGCTGCTGCCCATCTCCTGCCTGTCTCCCTCTGTCGCCTCTTACGACACCCACGGGAAGATATGGGGTAGTGGATATTCTCAACCGCCACTACACGGCAAATTAATCTTCCATAATCAATTTTTTTTTTGTTTTTTCTACCATTTTTTACAATCATCCTTTGTGACATGGGCACATGCTTCAACGAATATAGAAAAACAGTCCAAAAAAACTAAAGCTGAGTCACAAATTAAAAAGACACACATAAAATCACTAAAAAACAGTAAGCTACCGAAATGGCGGGACATTGATATTACGTAGTGGTTTTTTCGGCGAGGCCTTGTATATGACTTTTTTATTTACACAAATTTACGTTGACAAAGTAAAAAGTAAAATAGAATAAACTTGTTTTATTCATGAGTCATGTAATTAAGAAATTTTAAAAATAAAAATTTTATTAAACAAATAATACATTAAAAAATAATGATTCGATTACTTGAATATTTTTACTGATTATTTAAATATTTTTGCCGATTATTCACATAAGAACGAATTTTAATCATCCAAACACTACGGTATAATACATAGCAACATATCGGTTTAAAGAACTTTATTTCTCATTAAGACAATAAGTCACTTACATGAGAACAATAACATCTATATTATAATAATTATAGTGCGTGTCGATAGTACAAAAAAATACAAATTGTACCGGTCGATCGTTAAACAAGGAGTTCATTGTGTTCCTATCAACTACAAGGCGGTGGTCCAAGTATAATTTTAATGCATAGTTTCATCATTATAAATATATTCAAATAATCTTCTTTTAAAAATATTGATTAAAGTCGCTTCTTTCACATGTTTTGGAAGTTGATTGTATAACTGTGCTCCCCCAAATGTTGTTATTTTTTCCATAGTTTGTCCTTACGGCAGGTAACACAAAATTGCTGGCTCGGCGGGTTATATATTTGTTTATTTGAATTTTTGTTGTGAATGTTATGTGTGAGTGAATAAGCTTGTGAGTTATCTTGTAGATATGTAGACATGTATTATACGTAAAAAGTTGTTTAATATTTACGATTTTTGTGTTTTTGTAAATCGTTTTCGATGGTGTTAAGAAGTCATAGTTGTGTAAGATTTTAATTATTTTATTTTCTAATATTTGTATTGGTTTTAAATTACTTTTAACTGCAGTACCCCATATTTCGATTTGATACAGTAAGTGAGGCTTTACCAACGTATTGTATATTAAAAGTCGAGCATGTTTCGGTATATATCGAATTATTTTATCCAGTGCGCCCACAAGTGAGGAGAGTTTGTTGTGAATATATTGC